GCATATCCGGCACGTTAGTCTTGCTGAAAATGCAGTATCTATTAGGTGTCCATTTTTACGCATTTCAATCACCTTTGACCTTGTCACTACCGTGTATGCTATTTTGATATCAAATTCATCCACCCTGTCATCCTTTAGTGTGTTTTCTGATGTGCTTTGAGGCGGGTACCGACATGCTTGAGGTTGGTAACTGACGGAGGATAAGTGGGACGCGCTGCCTATGACTCGGTCCTGATAAATGTCCCTGATTAAAACACAGCCGAACTGTGCTACACAGGATTTCGTGACTAATCGCAAGCATGAGAGGACGAATTATTATCCAAGGATGTTCCGAAGCCCTGCCGAATCGGTAGCAGAGTCCCACAGTGACTGCGTAGCAGCTGTTTAGGGCGCCGACATGTCCTGGCTACAGCGTTCACACTCGGTGAACGACCTGAGGCAAGTTATGAAGTCCATTAGAGAAGCGAAGCCACTTTCACCTTTTCCTCAAATGGAGTCCCATTTACAAAACAGTGGTAAATTGGGCGAGAGCAGATGAGAAAATAATCCGCAGTGAGCCCACTACTCGTCAAAGTTTGTCGCCGTCGTAATGACGAGCCTCCGGGCGGAATGGTCGCGGCTCTGCCTCCCGGCGGAATAGTCGCGGCTCTGCCTCCCGGCGGAAAGGTCGCGGCTATGCCTCCAGAGGGAATGGTCGCAGCTCTACCTCAGGGTGAGATATCGCGGCTCCGCTTCCGGGCGGAATGCTCGCAGGCTCTACCTCAGGCGGAATGGTCGCTTCGCGGCTCTGCCTCCAGAGGGAAATGGTCGCGGCTCTGCCTCCAGAGGGAATGGTCGTGGGCTCTATCTCCAGAGGGAATGGTCGCGACTCTGCCTCCAGAGGGAATGGTCGCGGCTCTGCCTCCAGGCGGAATGGTCGCGGCTCTGGCCTCCAGAGGGAATGGTCGCGGCTCTGCCTCAGGCGGAATGGTCGCGGCTCTGCCCTCCAGAGGGAATGGTTCGCGGCTCTGCCTCCAGAGGGAATGGTCGCGGCTCTGCCTCCAGAGGAAATGGTCGCGGCTCTGCCTCCAGGCGGAATGGTCGCGGCTTGCCTCCAGAGGGACTGGTCGCGGCTCTGCCTACAGAGGGAATGGTCGCGGCTCTGCCTCCAGGCGGAATGGTCGCGGCTCTGCTCCAGAGGGAATGGTCGCAGCTCTGCCTCCAGAGGGAATGGTCGCGGCTCTGCCTCCAGAGGGAATGTTCGCGGCTCTATCTCCAGAGCGGAATGGTGCGGCTCTGCCTCCAGAGGGAATGTGGTCGTGGCTCTATCTCCAGAGGGAATGGTCGCGCTCTGCCTCCAGAGGGAATGGTCGTGGCTCTATCTCCAGAGGAAATGGTCGCGGCTCTGCCTCCAGAGAGGATGGTCGCGGCTCTGCCTCCAGATGGGAATGGTTCGCGGCTCTGCCTCCGGGTGGAATGGTCACGGGCTCTGCCTCCAAAGGGAATGATCGCGGCTCTGCCTCCAGACGGAATGGTCGCGGCTCTGCCTCCAGAGGGAATGGTCGCGACTCTCGGCGTCCGACGCGTTCTCTGATGCCAACCGCTCGGCCAAACATCCGCGCTGTTTTGAGCTACCTGCCAGACAGGCGTTCGCGCCCGTGCGTCATCGCAGTGGGGAGAGGGGGGAGAGTCTCATCTGCGCTCACGGCATCACGTCACAGAGCCTCTGTCACGTTGTCATGCCGCCGTGTCAACGGATGTGGCGAAAAAGGTTATATTAACAAATTATGATGACTCATTCTGCATTTCAGAATGCGCCGTAGAGGAGGCGTGGATCTATCTGAAAGAAAGATGTGTCATAGTAATTGAACGAAAATGAAGGAAATCTGCGATTTTGATTGTAAAAAATTGTTAGCCTACCGGTTATGAAGGACAAATAGCGAGAAAAAATGTTATGAAGAAAAGCTAGCTACGAATCACTCCCAGCGATTTGGTGAGCCTGTACATCCTGCGGGTGATGCGACGTTCCAACAATTTATGAAGTATGGAAAGATCCGACGCTGCGCCCGGGCTGCCAGACTTACTGCTCGTAAGCGGTGCGATGCGCAATCTGGTCGTCTAGTCGCGCAAAATAGAAAAATTTATCTGACGCCTCTTATCTTCGCCATCATTATTTTGAGCTGAGAAATTAATTAAGTTTGTGCTATTTATGCTGCGGGTGGCGTAAAGTCAGGAAACGGCCGTGTTCTTTTGTGAATGTCACGTCTGGACGTGAATGGACGTGACATTTTGTTTCGGGACCCGTGACTGGACGAAAAGCTACGGGTAGCTGGTGACATCCTTTAATGAGTACTATTGTTATGTGAACGTTAGTCCGAACGCATCGATTGCGTGTGTGTCTGGGATCAGCACCCACGCCAAGCTGATCTGAGCCGATCTCGACCCCATGTTCCTATACGCGGCACCCCCGGATCTCTACGCTCTATGAGCCGTGTGCCGTGAGGTTCTCTTCTGTGACGTTGTTAGACTGATGTGCGATGCCCTTCCGGCAAGCCTGCCAGCTCGCTGAGTGGTCGCTGAGGGTTCACCGTGCCCTGAAGCATAGCTCATGCCGCCCTGACCGCAGACACGACACAGAATATCTCGGCTGATGACCTGCGGTATCGGCCAACCGAGAAAGCTAAACTGCGCAATAACATCCTTGGCAGGTCCCGTAGGCAATACGAGACCACCTTGCACGCGAACTTCTCCGCTGGAATTGTGTGCCTTTGGAGTATCAGCCACCTGCGATGTTCGTCTCGCCAATGTGACGCTTGAAGCACCTCCTGCGCGTTTTGTGCGCTTCCATGTCTGATCTCTTTTCTGGCTTTTCTGGCCGTCCACGGCAGAGCGCAGGTGGCGTCGCAGTGAGCTGCACACTGAAGCCCTGCATGCCACTTGTATCTGTATCTGAGTCTGCGCGCTCTGTGACGCTTTCCGGTGCTCTTCCCGCCGTGCTGCCCGGACTCTCCCTGTTCGTCCCAGCAGAACGCGGTCAGCGGAGCAGTGACGCGGCGCGCACCGACTGTGTGTGTCTCTACATCCGCGTGTGTCCATGTGTGCGGGCCACACTAACCCATTCTGACGCTCCGGCAGCGCCCGGCTGGCGGGGCAATGACCCGGCACTGTCGTCTGTCTGTATCTGTTGCCCCTGTGTGCCCTGCCCTGACGCTGGTCGGCCTGTCCCCTACAGAGTGCGGTCGGCGGAGCGGTGACCCGACACTGTCTATGATCCTGTGTGCCCTGCCACTGACGCTGGTCGGCCTGTCCCCTGCAGAGTGCCGCCGGCGGAGCGGTGACCCGACACTGTCTATGATCCATGTATGCTCTGCCCTGACGCTGGTCGGCCTGTCCCCTACAGAGTGCGGGCCGGCGGAGCAGTGATCCGACACTGTCTATGATCCTGTATGCTCTGCCTGACGCTGGTCGGCCTGTCCCCTACAGAGTGCGGCCGGCGGAGCGGTGACCATCGCTCGCAGCGGATCGTGGGCGGAGAGCGGGCGGTACACGGCGAGTGGCCCTGGCAGGTGTCGCTGCACCAGCGGAACCCGCACACGGGCCAGCTGCTGAGCCAGCACTGCGGCGGCACCCTGATCGGCCCCAGCTGGGTGCTCACCGCCGCGCACTGCATCGTCGAGTCAGTACCTGGGTTGCGAGCTCAGTACCTGGGCAGTACCTGGGCAGTACCTGGGCAGTAGGCACATTGAACTGGATTTACCCACGTGAGCGCTACGGTCTGTCGGGTACTGGTGTGGCTTCCCATGATTCCTGCGATGACGAGCCTGGACACTGCCGCTGGGGTCAGGAGGAGGGGAGGAGAGCCGCCGGCGCGGGTCCGGCCGCGGAGCCGGACCCCGGTGCCTGCCGGGATTCTGCGGTCGCGCTCTCCGCTGGTTTGTACCTGATTCATAGTCTGGCACGGTTTCATTAACTCGCGCCAGTTACAGTGGCCGTGTCGTTGTGGATTACGTGAGTAATACCAGCGCGGAACTTGCATAATTAAGCACCTTCGCCGAGATGCTTTCACATGACACACAGCACCGCAGCTCTTCTTCCACATACCGCACAATACCACAGTGCCTCTGCTACATGACGCACAGCACTCAGTGTCTCTTCCATCTTACGCAAAACACTACAGTGCTTCCCCCACAAACGCACAGCACCACAGTGCTCTTTCCACCCCCTGCATAACGCCACAATGCTTTTCCCACACAGCGCGTCGTAGCCATTGTCACGCGGTATCATGAGACAGGGAACTTTTATAATTCCAGACATGAAATGGCATTGGCGGGGCAATGAAATGAAATGGCGGAAAATGGCATAACAGGGCAAAACCCATCGCTTGTCATCAGGCCTAGACGGCAACGGTCCCAGCAACCGGCTTTTAGAAAACATTACAAATGTGCCCCTCAGTCATCACATGGGCCGGACGAAGGTTTTTTATTTATGAATAGGACCGCAGGACTTTTTCCACACCCTTTTGTAGTTTGTCACTTAACTTTTTATATTGATCTATGACCCAATTGCCCTGACTGCGCTGATGCGTGTCATTAGGGATGGTGTTGCCGCAGCGCCGGCCGGTTGGGCGCGTGCTGAGCGCGCGTGTCGACGACGGCCCGCCCGGCCCGGCCGGCTGCTGCTGCCGCCGCAGTGATCGCGGTCAGTGTGGCGCACCCGCGCGCCAGATCGTGACTCACGCGCGGCGGGGCGGCGCACTCCGGGAGCATGCAGGAGAGGAGCGGCGCCCAGATGACGGATGATGGCGCCCTGATGACGGGTGATGGCGTTCTGATGGCGCGTATGGTGGCGCCGCTGCACGCACACCCGTGGGCTGCAAGTGAGCATGCCGGGGTATAGATACATCGTCCCAAAGATTTATGTACCTGTCTTCCAAAGTCTGACGTTTCCAAGTGTTACCAAGCTCTCAGAACACGCCAGCTCTGCTCTGTAGGGCCCAGTAACGGCACGTGATCAGATGTTTAGAAATGTCCCGAAGTCAATCCTGGGAAGACAATCGAAGGCGCCGAGAAGGACTATCTTCTTACTTTACCGCCTTATATTTCCTTTCCAGACAGGTCCGAGAGGCATTGCTTCACTTTCTTTTACGGAATCCCACTTTTCTAAGACGAACTGTCAGCCCACGCAGGTGCTAATGTCAACGCTTTGTCGGAAGCTTATTACAGACTCTTCGCCATAATGCTGACGGCTTGCAGATGGATATGTACAAATCCTCAGAAAAAATGTGAAACAAAGGGCACCATCGACTATGAGCTGCAGTGCAGTGCGAGCGTGGCACACGCGCCCGCGAAGCTCCGTGTTTTCTGGCGTCATGAGCTGGCAGATTTGAGCCCACCGCCGTAACGGCCTGCCAGCGTGGTATGCGGCCAGAGGGTGGAGCCGCCGCACACCGGTCGACCGCGTGCGGTGAAAGTCCCATCCTGGTCCCACCTGGGCCGGTTTGGCTTGAATGGCGCCACCCACCCACGGAAGACGCCTGAACGCCTTCCGATTCGGTTAGGCAGGGTCCACGGCCTCATTCAGTCGATCCGAATGAGTGTGGCCGGCTCCCGGCTCTGAGCGAGGCGTCCCGCAAGCTGGGTATTCCTCCTCTGGCGTAGGAAACTCGCTTTAGCCGTTCATTCAGCTTTCACTCGTTTCTGGCGCGTGATTTATCGCCGCGGTTTGCATATTTTGCCGACGAAACCCAGTAACTTACGTTGACAGCCGGAACCTTTACAAACTGGGTGTACGCGGAATGCGTAATGGCGTTATTATTTATCAACCTTACGCCAACCCACTCCGCCCATTCGATTGGGTCATTCAGCCGCGTCGTGCGTCGTATCCGCCCTTTTCACTCCTGAGCTTGCGTGTACCACTTCTGTTGTGGCCGAAGAGGCTTTGAATTGATGCTTGATTCGGCCCCAGACGCTTTGTATTGGCCATTGCATACATCACACTGACGTGTCTAGTCATATCGACATGAAGCGACGTCCCGCGGCTGTAATGAGAGTGTCCGTCGTCGTTCCAGGAGATCGCACACAGTTAGCATGCGTTGTAGATAAAAGGAGCAGGGCTTTTGAGTTGTCCGGATTGATATCCGGACAAGTTGGGTTAGCAATTGATGAAATATCTTACTTTTCTCGATAACGGTATACTATACCCTCCCTTGTGAGCGAAAAAGAGGTTATCGATAAACTACACCCAATGCAATGATAAATGTCTAGTCATTTACGCTTATGTGGGATGGATATATGATGGCTCAGATATCTCCTTGGAGTAAATGCTGTGCCATTATACATGGTTGCATCTATTTTCCTGGTATAGTTATTTTCAAATGCAAGTCAATAACATATTCCATCTCGTTGCTTTATTTTGAAATCTGATCGGCATATTTAAGCGATGATTTTAACGCCATTTGGAAGCCCTTGGTGTGCTGATTAGGACTAGCCAAGGTCTTTTATTCTGTATGCGTAAGGCTATTTTTATTTTGAATCAGATACTCCAACTTTGGTGGGCAGGATGTTCTGGCCCGTTGTCATTTTGGCGACATTCTTCGCCATATAGGACGGACAATTTATTTCTACCCGCTGGGACCTGACACATAAAGCTGGATCTGCTGAGTGGAAAACGGCCTTACCACAAGCGTCATAGCTGAAGTCATATCAAGCTTAAGCTACCTAAACGCGTTTTAGTCATATTTCGTCCAGGCCGGTAATTCGAAGCACACCACACACACCACACACACACACACACACACACCACACACACACAAACACACACACACACCCACACACACACACACACACACACACACACACACACACACACACACACACACCCACACCCACACACACACACACACCACACACACACACACACACACACACACACACACAAACACACACAACCCACACACACACACAACACACAACACACACACCACCCACACACCACACACACACACACACACACACACAACACACCCAAACACACACACACACACACAACACACACACACACGCACACGCACACGCACACGCACACGCACACGCACACCTCCTGGAACCCTGCTCCGCAATGTGGAAATAACCCTTAATAAAACTACGTTTCGTGTTTTGGGCCCCCACTGGTTAGCACTGGATACACTGGGTGGATCACTCTAGGTTACACTGCAGGATGTCATAACATCCCGAAAACGAAACATTCCTGTGACTTCCAACTCAGCTAGAGATGCGAAACAGCTAACGGGCGTCTTTCTTGCTATGAGGCAGAGCCAACGATAGATGGGCTTAAGACTGTAGTTTGGTTTAAATATTTCAGCGCGATTTGCAACCATTCCTGATCGTAACCTTACGGTATCCAAAACCTCCTTTTCTTTTCCTTGTTACGCTTCGGTTACGCTCCATTAAAACCATTCTTCCCTTCCACGCATAACGCAATTTATTGCCGGCCCCTTCTTACTTAGGTGCGATCTTGCACATCGCATAATTGCTGTCCCCGGTTGCATTTTAGATGGTGGTGGCTCACGGGTTTAAAGCAAGTGTGGTCCGATGTTATTCCCTAGTTGTGGAACGGGCGGTACTCTGGTGTACCGATCTGGATGGCGGTCACAGAATTATCATTTGGGGCAAGTACTTGCAGAAAATATACGACATGAGGAGGCCCAGACACTCCAATTCAGCTTTATGGAATGACGCGAATAATGAGCAAATAATTACGAAATTAAAGTGAAAGATTACACCGCAAGCCGTTTACATCACAAAGAAACTTTGAGAGCAAAAAAAAACATTCAATTTTTAGTAAATGCTACACGTTGTTTTCCGATAAACAATGAAGGAAAGACAAGATGAGAACATTTGCAGCCCTACTGCGAATGACTTCCCACACACCTGTCGCGAGAAAGGCACTTTTGTCCAAAAAGATGTCTGCATCACGCACGTTTGATGGCTTTCTTACCTGTCTGTTGCTTTGAACCGCCCATGTTATAGGCTGGTATGGCTAAGCCTTCAGCACAATGAGTTATGGTTTCTTGCTGGCAGCTATTAGCTTTCCAAAGAGGTACCTTAAGGTTCTGGTTGTGTTGTGTCGAGAAGAACTTGTGTTGTGAAGAATATAAGATACCATGGTATCTGTCACTTTCCATTTGCACGCAAATAAGCCTAGAAATATCAGGTCTGGTTTTTGCGGTGCTCTGTGATAAGTGTTAAGTTTTTCATTCATTAATATTCCAAGGAGTTCCCACGGATCGCTACTCGCGTTGAAATGGCGACTGTGGTATGCCTGTAATGAACATGCTAATGCAGGCGGTGGCAAAAACTGCCTACGATGCCGAATGAAAAGCTCTGTCTTTGAACCTACTATTTAGAGCGCTCCCATCGTTAAGGCGGTAACAGCATATGTCGAGGCCATTGTGGTTTTCCTTAGTGGTTGTTTGTTCCCTTATAATTCCTCGCGAAGTTGGCATTACCGACTTCCCTTGTACTGTGGATTTGTTTTCTTAACCATAACAGCCTGAATTTATCTGAATTATGACGATGAATATTTTGTAGACAAATGGCTTACATAATTACGTGAATGAAATGAATGAAATGCTAATGCTAATGAAAACGCAAGCGGCATTCCTTGTCAATCATTTGAACATAAGGCGAATTATGTCTCACTGGTCATGCACCTCTTGTTAGACCAAATAAAGTTGAACTGCTTTGATGTCACACGCGTAGTGTACGCAGTGTTCAAAGCAGTTGCGCTTGGCCTTAAAAGGTCTATTATCTCGTCAAGCACAGATAAGCTCGTTCCAGATCAAAATAGAGACAAATGTCAAAAGTGGGACCGGCGGTTGCAAAAGATCGAGCCGATACAGCTTGTTCTGCAGCACAGCCCAGCCACAACCGGCGGTGTGTCGGTACCACGGATGGCAAGAGTGCCACACTGGCTTAGGTTTGTTTGGTAGGTTCATATCTCTTTCGAACATCATATGCCGTTACATGCCTGGGAGATTGAGGTGTGAGGTCAGAGATGGAGCAGTCCACCATCTCCAAGACGCCTGTGCTCACGTGGGTCTTTCGACCAGGGCGTTCGTGAGGCCGTCTCACGGCTGCCGGCGTCGGTATGCTCCGGTGAAGGCTGGCTCACGGCTGCCGGTGGCGGTATGCTCCGGTGAAGGCCGAGTCATGGCTGCCGGTGGCGGTATGCTCCGGTGAAGGCCGACTCACGGCTGCCGGTGGCGGTATGCTCCGGTGAGGGCCGACTCATGGCTGCCGGTGGCGGTATGCTCCGGTGAGGGCCGACTCACGGCTGCCGGTGTCGGTATGCCCCGGTGAGGGCCGACTCACGGCTGCCGGTGGCGGTATGCTCCGGTGAGGGCCGACTGACGGCTGCCGGTGTCGGTATGCCCCGGTGAGGGCCGACTCACGGCTGCCGGTGTCGGTATGCCCCAGTGAAGGCCGACTCACGGCTGCCGGTGTCGGTATGCTCCGGTGAAGGCCCACTCATGGCTGCCGGTGGCGGTATGCTCCGGTGAAGGCCGACTCAGGGCTGCCGGTGGCGGTATGCTCCGGTGAAGGCCGACTCACGGCTGCCGGTGGCGGTATTGCCCCGGTGAGGGCCGACTCACGGCTGCCGGTGGCGGTATGCTCCGGTGAGGGCCACTCACGGCTGCCGGTGGCGGTATGCTCCGGTGAAGGCCGACTCACGGCTGCCGGTGGCGGTATGCTCCGGTGAAGGCCCACTCATGGCTGCCGGTGGCGGTATGCTCCGGTGAAGGCCGACTCAGGGCTGCCGGTGGTGATATACCCGTGTGAGACAAGGCGCTGCCTGGATGTGTCGTGAAGCGGAGGATGCAGGGAGTGGTTGGATGTAGAGGATGGCTTTTTTCATCTGCTGTCCATCAGACCGTATGGAATTCAGGTTGCGTAAGTTGTCAAGTGCATTTGCGAAGAACATCATACGTGTAAAAGACAGTTCTATTAGATTTTTCGTCGAATAACCAAGAGAATGGAAAGATGACAGACTGATATTACAGCTACATGCCTTTATGGAAACGAACTAGGAATTCGGGAAAACCTTGTAGTGTTTCCATCTGCCTGTACGTATTACTCGATGCATCCGCTGTTGGCCGCAGCCAGTAGGCGTGGCTAGCTTTTCTTCGCGACAGAACACTAAACAAACCTTGCGACCGCCGAGCCCACGATGGGCTGGTGAGACTTTTGTCGTGTTGTGTTGTGTCGTGTTGTGTTGTGTCGTGTTGTGTTGTGTCGTGTTGTGTTGTGTCGTGTTGTGTTGTGTCTGTGTTGTACTGTATGATGCAAAGCAGGGTCTCTCCTCTGGCGTTTCCTACCAGAAATATATGATTGTGCTTGTGCTAATGGTGCTGGGTGTAAAGCGGTGCTCTGTGATTCGGTGCAAGAGTAGCAGTGCTAATCACGGAGCCATGGACCAGTTCCTGTGCACACTTGATATGTATATGCGTTCAGCAAAAGCGTTGGGGTCCGATGAACATTTGGCTGGATGGAGCCGAACATAGTTATGGTGGTCAGTATATTCGTTCCGTAACATGTGAGTAAATTTGCGTCCAGAGGTTTCCTCGCTCCCCGTCGTCACTACCAGACGTCTCCGAATGGGTGAATTTCCCTAAAACGGTGGAGGCCTGCTGAATGGTAGACCGAACGTGGATGCTTCTGCTTTTGCTATCACAGTCGATTTCAAACTATTGCGAGGGCTGTGATTGAGATCATCAGATTACTATCAAACGGGTTCATGCAAAATCATGAGCAAGCTATTGATGCTTGAAGACGTTATGAATATGAGACTTCAACGTCAAAACAGCTTGTTAAATTTCCTGTATTGTACCTAAGACTGTGGAAGACCCAGACCTTATCAAAATTTTATTGGAACGCCAATGACAATGAAAAACGGTAAGGTACCTTGCATTTAAAAAAGTGGCAAAAATGAGGCCGTAATGAAAGAAAATAAAATAGGAATTGAAACTAAAACTTCATGTGCACTAAACTCAAAACAGTAGGGCATTTTCGCTGCCACCAATGAGAGAACGCACAAGATGGGCACTAGTGAAGTGTGTCCTCCAGGCATTCACCGGCCGCCGCGCCAGCGTTGTTATCGGATGGCTCGCTAGCTGTCTGGGCACGTGTCCGTTGCGGCGTAAGAGGGGCGCGTACAGGCCCGGCAGACCCGCCTGAGATTGTTAGGCTCGTAACGTCTTTGTCCGAAAGGAAAGTGATATTTCAAGGTTCGCACGCAAACGTGGTCGGTGTTTGCTCCCCACTGACTTGAAAAATGTAACTCCATGACAAGTATACACGAGGGTTGTTGAAATCTCAGGCGTGCGAGACGGTGGGCGAGGAGCTTGCTACGGCAACCGTGCCGCTTTCGCTGCTTGAGAAAGGTCACCTGGATGTTTTGCGATTAGGCCCATTCCGACGGACTTCTGCTTTCGTCCAGTCATCTATGGTTAGCAAGGCGAGCTGCTGGTTAGTGAAGGCTTCCCTAGTGTACTCTGTCGTTTTCTATCCGCTGCTGCTGCTCGCACTGACAGGCGACCGGTTCGTTGATGTTTGCACTGACGGACATCCGGTGCACTTGTGTTCGCATCGACGGACGTCTGGCTCACTGATATTGACACTGACGGACGGCTGGCTCGCTGATGTTCGCACTGACGGACAACCGGTGTACTTGTGTTCTCACTGATGAACGTCTGGCTCACTGACGTTTGCACTTATGGGCGGCTTGTTCACTGATGTTTGCACTGACGGACAACCAGTACACTTGTGTTCGCACTGACGGACGTCTGGCCCACTGATGTTTGCACTGGCGGGCGGCTGGTGTGTGCTCGCACCGACGGGCGGATGGTTCGCTGGTGTTTGTACTGACGGGAGGATGGTTTGCTGGTGTTTGTACTGACGGGCGGCTGGTTCACTGATGTTCGCACCGACGGGCAGATGGTTCGCTGGTGTTTGTACTGACGGGCGGATGGTTCGCTGGTGTTTGTACTGACGGGCGGCTGGTTTCAGCCCGCTGTTCGGGTTCACCATCCCGCCCGTTTTCTGGATCGTCAAGATGGGCCACATTGAGCTGAGTGACAGGCAGCCGCCGCACCTGGCCGGCGTCTCCAAGATCATCACGCACAAGGTCAGACCTCGGGTGGCGCAGGACGGCCGGCGAGGTGCGAGCCGCTGCAGGAAGTCAGCAAATATTCCCTAGATCTGGTAAAACTCCTGGTCGCCCAGCTGCACAGTCTGCGCTATTTCGTGTATCTGTAGCCCAAGCTTCATGCCCGTAATTTCGTGTTCACAAAGTTGATAGACATTGCATGCATCTTTATGTTTAGTGAGCCGTTCTCTTCTTCCTACCTAGGTGTAGCGCGCTGTCATTAATCGCATTTTTTACCAATGAACTCGCGTTTCACTCCACCGTCGCTCGGATCACCCCCAATCTTAGTACCGCCGTGCCTTGCACCGCAGTACTTTGACGCCAAGACATGGAACCACGACATCGCGCTGGTGAAGCTGCGGGAGCCGCTGGCGTTGGACCAAATGACTGGTGTCAACACCGTCTGCCTGCCGGGTGCCAGTGCCAGCTTCGAGGGCCACCTCTGTCACGTCACCGGCTGGGGCAAGGTCACCGAAAGTAAGTGACCCGCCACGGCCCGCGCATGTCTGACGACTGGGACCAATCACCGCCAGGAAGCCGCCTTCCCTGGATACGCTTCAATGAATTTCCTGTTTGCATTGCTCGTTACTTTTTGCCGTAGATACCCGACCCCACACTGCTAGCTCTCGCATAGTTTGGGCAGTGCTTCTCATGATCACTATATGTGAAGTATCTGATCTCTTTTACTCTCCTGTCGCTGCTCGTCTCCCTCGAATTTCCCTACCATTGTGATGCGTATTTGCTCGTCCCATGCAGCGGTGCCGCCACGTTCTGTGACTGCTCACTCCTGCAGCGCTGCCGTCACATTATGTGACTGCTTGTTCCTGCAGCGCTGCCGTTACTTACCGTGACTGTTCACTCCTGCCGCGCTGCCGTTACTTACAGTGACGCGTCGGCTCCTTCCCAGATGGTTCGGATTCCGAGCTACTTCAGAAGATTGCCGTGCCGGTCATTCCTTACAACGACTGCTATAAAAAGTACGAGAGCATCAACCCCATCACGCCGGGCATGGTGTGTGCCGGCGGCGACCAGCCCAACAAAGGCCCTTGTGTGGTGAGTGAGCAGCGCAGGCCAGACCAACAAAGGCCCTTGTGTGGGGAGTGAGCGGCGCAGGCCAGCCCAATAAAGGCCCTTGTGTCGTGAGTGAGCATCGCAGGCCAGCCCAACGAAGGCCCTTGTGTGATGAGTCAGCAGTGGCGAGTAGTCCTAAAAAACTGTGGAAAAATATGTTTTATATTTTGTTGAACGCATGTTTGCAACTCACCCATCACTCATAACTTTCACTGAACGATCTTTCAGTGGTTCGCGAAGCATGCAGCTGAAACGAGCCTTCAAGTACAGCGTGCATCCATTCGTGCACTCGCTACTGCACCACTGTAATTGCAGTCCACCGCGCCAGCCGGCCACTTGTCGGATGTCCCCCGTTTCCGTGACAATGACTATTTGTGGTGCGACTAAACTGGTGCGACTCGGCAGGGCGACTCGGGAGGCCCGCTGCAGTGTCGGCGCGAGGACGGCGCCTGGGTCCAGATCGGGGTCACCAGCTGGGGCGTCGGCTGCGCTCGACAAAACTACCCCAGTAAGTCTGACGGTGTCTGCTTGGCGCGCGTCGCTCCCCTGTGCGGCGGTGTGCATGGTGTGCGCGTCCATCCTGATGTGCCCGGTCTGCCTGATGTGCCGTCCTGATGTGCCCGGTCTGCCTGCTGTGCCGTCCTGATGTGCCCGGTCTACCTGGTGTGCCGTCCTGATGTGCCCGGTCTGCCTGATGTGCCGTTCTGATGTGCCCGGTCTACCTGACGTGCCGTCCTGATGAACAAGTCATGCAAAACACATGCGGGCACCTTAGCGATGGCATTTCACTGCACTGGAACGAATGAATGCATGATGCGGTATTGCCTTGAATGGTTTCCCGTTGTGTATATTAAGGCTGAATCTTCTGGGAAACGTACCGTTATGCAAGGCTGACGACTCCGCCGCGAACCCCAGCGGTCCAATGGCGACCGTTTGGTTGTATGATGCCGTTCTTTGGCCACGGGCGTCTGGTCACGCAATGTCGCTGTCTGGTAGTGACCATGTGGCAATGCGATGCCGTAATCTGGGTGATTATTTATTCATGTGAAGTCTTGGCCTAACGTTGACCGTTTTGTCATTGTATGCTGCGGTCTGTTCATGACCGTTTGGTCATGCGGTGCCTTGGTCTGGTGATGACAGTTTGATCACGTGGTGCCTTGGTCTGGTGATGACAGTTTGATCATGCGGTGCCTTGGTCTGGTGCACGGGTGGCCGCTTGATCATGCGATGCCTTGGTCTGTTCATGACTGTTTGATCATGCAGTGCCTTGGTCTGGTGGTGACCGTTTGATAATGCGGTGCCTTGGTCTGGTGCACGGGTGTCGATTTGTGTTCTTTTGTGAGAGCCCGGTCCCCCTCCCCCAATGTTGAGTTGCCCCACCCCCTCAACGCTGGCTTGCCCCCCCCCCCTCAACGTTTTTGGCGGGAATACTACAAGAAACTAGAAGAGACGCGTGCGTCTAGTGCTTGCTCCCTGGATCCAACCTTGCATGATTTCTACTCTGTCTAAATTAAAGACTTTTGTAGATTATATAAAGTTTAAATGGCTTATAAAAGCCATATTTATGGCTAAACCCGGTAAGAAAAAAATGGAGGGGGGGGGGGCAGGTTGTCGGGCCTTCGTTTCGGCCCTCCCAATAATTTACAAAAATTGACACGCCTGGTCTGGTGGTGTCGTTTAATCACGTGGTGCCGTGGTCTGCTAGTAACCGTTTGGAAATGTAGGGTGAGCAGCACCGCTGGGTGGCAGGAGTTACCAGGTAAAGCCATCACCGTGCAGCCGTTTTGCGCGTTGCTCTCGGCACGTGTCTCACAGATGGCATAGCCTTCGGGAAATGGGTTAATGCTCCATGGATAAAGCAAGGAATGCGGGAACATTCCAGGGCAGGGCGACGCCATAGAAAGCTCGCGCACCATCCGGCCGGTGAACTGTATCGGTTTCGGTGCGCGTCCGCATTCTCGGCGGCTATTGAAGCCATGACGCCGATAGGACGTACGCGCCAGATCTCCAGTTCCGGCCAGCACCAACCCTAACGCGCTGCCCTCGTCTCCAGGCGTGTACGTCAAGATCTCAGACTACGTTAACTGGATCTACTTCCACCTGGCGAAGGACTACCTGGCCGGACTGCGCGCCGCCCGTACGCCCCGGGCACCGCACCGGACCGACGGCCGGACGTTGTGACCCGGTGTACTGACGTCACGCATCGCCGCCGGTGGCCGTGGGTGATGGGCTGAGCCGTTCGAGTGAGGATGAGTGGCGAAGTGACCCGTCTGCCGGACGCGGCGCGGAATGCGCCGTATCACCGCGGCGGCGGCGGCGGCGGCGGCGGCGGCCTCCGGTCTGGCCGCCGCCGCCGCCGCCGGCCGGCTGACACGGTTTCGGCGCGGCGCCCGTGTTGTCGCGGTCGGCGCCGCTGGGACGCCGCACCGCGCCGCCGGAGCCGGACGCCGCACGCCGGAGAAACCGCGGCACCGGTGCGGAGAAACCGCCTGCCAGCCGCCGACGGCCGGCCGCGGGCGGCCGTGGGTGAGGCGCCGGGCTGACATTGAGTCGTCCGCCGGCTGACATTGAGCTGACCGCGGGCTGGCCGTGAGCGCGCCGCCAGCCGACGGGAGCTGACCGGCAGCGGATGGCGGGGAACACGCGAGTGTGCCGCGGTTTTGGCTGCAAGGCGTCCGTGAGTGAGCTGCGAGACTGATCGTAGAGAAGCCACGAGGCCGAAGTCGAGACACTAGGAGTTGACCGTGAGAGGCCAATGGCAAGGAGAAGGTAGATTGTATCGAAGATCGTGGGACCGACCGTGCGAAACCAAAACAGACCGTGTGATCAAGAGAACTGTGTGTAGCCCTCGGGACGGACGGTATGTCCCCGGGACAAAGTGTGACCACTGGGACAGAATGTGACCCATGGGACGGGGTGAAACCACGATGGACTGAGGAGAACATATGCCCGACTAGATCTCGGTTTGTTTAAGTCCAATTACTCGAGACGCAAGTGGCACACCAAAATGTGATAATGAACCAACAGTAGGCTCATAGCTCCCAGAGTGTCAACGCAAAGCCTCTCTGCATGACCGTTATGATGTCCATATTCGGCGTGACGTAGCTGCAGCATGTTATCTGATGTACCGTTGTCGAGAGCATTGTCTAACTGCGTGGACGTGCCTACCTCTCAGTCGGCTGGCCACAACGGGCCAGGCGGCTAGCGAGCCGCTGCAATTCCTGAGCAATACACGCGATGTAAAATGAAAATGCCGGCTTGTTGAAATGAAACGTCATTCATAGGAGTCATCGAATTTTTGGAACAACGCTAAATCGGAAGACTGACGAATCTTTAGAATCTTGGGGATCTTGGGAATCTTTAGAAACGTTTGCAATGCTGCCCAAAAGACCAAGACGACCTGCACACGAAAGCTGGTATCGTCGTTGCCATGGCTTGCTTAGAGGGTAAGGGTACTAAGGTAGAGGATAGGGCAGGGTATGGCTACTGAAGATGGAGGGCAAAGGGTGCTAGGGTACCTGTACCATTTGCTATAAAAGCTTGGTAAGGTTTCCAGTACTCTATCGACGACAGGTGTGGAGTTTTTTTTAAAATGGTTGTGGGTGACCAAATGAACACAGATCTTTCACTCCGTCAGCTTGTCGCTCGGCTAAGTGGCCTCACAAATTTGGCTGCCAATCCACGTCGTCTATAAGCCAGTCAAGTCGGCGAGCTGGAAAGTTATGCACGACACCTCGGCAGTGTACAGTACATGACAATATTCCGTTTTATTCGTTTTTTTAGAATTTTTCGTTTTAGCGTACATTTCAATGAACACGAATGATGTAAAGCTCCGTTTAATATGCTCATCGGATATCAGATCAAAACACCGAGTCCTCGTCTGTCGATGATTTACTTTGGACAGTCAAATCTCGGACCAGCCTTCCTGCGTCTTGCTGGATCGGCTGATTATAAACTCTCGCCATGCGGCTAGAGACCGCAGCAGCCCGCGGGGCTTCGATACCCTGTGTGTGACGGTCTTGCGACAAACACGCCGCGGTTCCATCCACGATCAGTTTGATGATCCGCCTTGCTGTTCCCTCTTGCCCAGCCCGTCATTTTAGAACAACCACGCGCATAATGTATGCTGCATTAGCCTCGTTTGGGTATGCTAATTGACGGGTGCTCCGTGCTGGATAAGAGGCAACATAGACGCCGTTATAGCCCAGCTAAAGGCTCTTAATGTCAGACTACGAACCTCACAAAAACCTGGCATTTGCAGGGCATGCCACTGCGTTCGTGCATTCCTGACCGGTTTCATCCGCCGGTATTGCGTTATTCTTTTTGAGCCACGTCCCAATACTAAGGATAGTAGCACCTCACTGCCTGGACTGTGCCTGTGCTCCAGTTTTGTGGGTCGGACGTGTGGCAACAGAGGCTCTGGTGGCGGCTGCTGGTGGCAGAGGCCCGGTCCGAGCTAGATGATGATCGTACCCGGTGGACAGATCCGTCTGCATAGGGCACCTGCTGGTGCGCCGAACCTCCGCACCCGGTGGACAGAGCCGTCTGCGTGAGGTGCCTGCTGGTCTGCCGAGCCTCGGCACCAGGGGACAAGCCACCGTGACAGGCTGGTTCGAAACATCGCTGGGTCAATGCCCTTCGCTTTGATACACGGGTGGACCTATACGCTGGTGCCGCGGGTTCTTTGCACGAATGTATGCAAAGCATTATAGCAGCGTTCCACTCGAAAACAGACCGCGTGACAACAGTACTTTGAATGTTTTGCTTGTCGCTTGGAGTGTCAACAGGTGTTGAATGTCTATTCGAGACGCGGAACCAAAGTCCCCATTCATGAGCTTTAGCTTTCCTGTGCTGTTTCCTTGCAAACAAGCGCGGCGCATAACGGTGATGTGAGCATCTCTTAATTCCAACAGCACGCAAGCGTTGCAGCACGTCTTCTGCCGCGCGTTTGCACACACGTCACTGAACACCGCTGCCACGCACTGCCTGGCCCGAAGCCATCGTCTCGTCAGCTGAGAGATGGGCGCGGGACAGGACAGCCTGCCTGTGCCGGTGTCCGGGAGGCCTGCGACCCTGTGCTGTGCGGCGGCGTCGGCGGCCGGCCTTCGGGGCGACCTTGCGCGCGGCGCAGCCGGTGGCGGGCGACCCGCCGTCTGCCGGTGCGGCCGGCCGTCCCGGTCGAGCAGGACTCGGATCCGGCTGGTGTCGCTCCAAGTAAGGCACCAGGTCATGCCGAGCGGCCGCCTGCACCGGCGACGGCCGGCGGCAGCGGCGCTGGGGCGCTGCCGTGGCGCTGACGCAGCGCGACTGTAATACGTGCCGCGGTAGCTGTAATACTGTCTGTGTGCCGCTGTCGTTCTGGTCCTCTCGCTGTGATATTGTACATGTGACACTGTCGCTCTGGTGCTGTCGCTGTGGCCTGCTGTTGGGGTACTGTCGGTATAGCGCAGTCGCTATGGTACAGTCACTGTGGTGCTGCAGTTATGGCACTGTCGTTCTGGTGCTGTCGCTGTGGCCTGCCGTCCGTACAGTACGGTCGCCATGTTGCAGTCACTGTGGTGCTGCAGTTGTTGCACTGTCACCTTGGCGACATCCCCCTTCGAGTTACAAATGCCGTTCCCTGGGCTACGCCGCAAATCTCCAGCTCATAATCCTGAACGTATTCAAGTCTCTGGTGCGCGATACCGGAAAGTGGGCAATTACTTGAAATAGCCTGAAGCCAAGCCAAGAGAGAACGTATGTTTTCTTTCACCATCTCAGGACGCTGGGTCCAAGCCAGTACTGCAGAACTCAGAGTGTCCGTTGGTCATGGCACAGTCGTGGTCTGACAACGTGACATTCGCGATATAATCTAGCATTTGATCGAACTGTTTCCGTGACGTCATGATGTAAATGACTCGTGACCAAACAACGCATACTTCGTGACCGGATGTTTCCATAAATCGTGACGGTCGGAAGCAAGGCGTGGCTGCTTCGTGACTCGGGCCGTGACTCGGTCCGTGACCAGGTCGAAACAAAGCCCGTGACCTGGCCGTGTCAAGGTCGTGACTAAACCTCGTCCGGGCCGCTGCTGAGTCGCGACTCGACCTCAATGCGTCTTGGCTCGCTTGCGCCCGATTCGCAGTTTAGTCACGGCCGAGCCGGTTCTGAGTCGTGACCGAGTCGTCGCTGGTCCTGGTTGATCGTTGACTGAGTCACGAACGAGAGGTGGTTGAGGCGCGCTGCAGGCGGTCACGGGTCGGTGACCCGATGACCCGCCGCCGGCACGGGTGTGTGAAAGCTATGGAGGATCGCCATCGGCGGGCCAGTGATGGAGGATCACCACCAGCGGACCAGTTATGGAGGATCGCCACCGGCGGGCCGGTGGTGGAGGATCGCCACCAGCGGACCAGTTATGGAGGATCGCCACCAGCGGACCAGTTATGGAGGATCGCCACCGGCGGGCCGGTGGTGGAGGATCGCCACCGGCGGGCCAGTTTTGGAGGATCGCCACCAGCGGACCAGTTATGGAGGATCGCCACCGGCGGGCCGGTGGTGGAGGATCGCCACCAGCGGACCAGTTATGGAGGATCGCCACCAGCGGACCAGTTATGGAGGATCGCCACCAGCGGACCAGTTATGGAGGATCGCCACCAGCGGACCAGTTATGGAGGATCGCCACCAGCGGACCAGTTATGGAGGATCGCCACCAGCGGACCAGTTATGGAGGATCGCCACCAGCGGACCAGTTATGGAGGATCGCCACCAGCGGACCAGTTATGGAGGATCGCCACCAGCGGGCCAGTTATGGAGGATCGCCACCAGCGGCTGGTGATGAAGGATCGCCGCCAGCGGGCCAGTTATGGAGGATTGTCACCAGCGGGCCAGTTATGGAGGATCGCCACCAGCGGCCGGTGATGAAGGATCGCCGCCAGCGGGCCAGTTATGGAAGATTGTCACCAGCGGGCCAGTTATGGAGGATCGCCACCCGCGGGCCAGTTATGGAGGATTGTCACCAGCGGGCCAGTTATGGAGGATCGCCACCCGCGGGCCAGTTATGGAGGATTGTCACCAGCGGGCCAGTTATGGAGGATCGCCACCAGCGGGCCAGTTATGGAGGATCGCCACCCGCGGACCGATGATGAAGGATCGTCACTAGCGGGCCAGTTTTCCGTGCCAGAGGTCAGGCACTTTTACTCTCCGGCGTATCCGGCCGCGGCGCCCTGCTGTGTCGGCCTTTTGTCCTGCGTCTGGCACCTGTCCCGAATGGACATGCCAGTGCCTGGTTGCACGCGGACATACATTCAGTGCTTCTGCTTTCATGCCACCCCTTATTTTCT